CAGTAGCAGGCTCTGCAAGAGAGTAAATAAGACCTCCAACCCACACAGGACCAGAGTTTAGGAGACAGAAACATTTCTTTATGTAGACATCCTGATGAGTTTCATTTACCTTATGTTAAAGCAGAAAACTATTTACTCAAAAATAATTCAAACCAAAATTAATGTAAAACAAAAAATAATTAATAACTCACAAAATTTGGAAAAACAAAATAGTAAAGAAACCATTTTACTTCCAATGCTCCACAGTTTCCAACTATCAGTCAGTCTTGGCTAAAAGGTTCAGGCAGAATAATAAAAAGTGTCAAAACAAAGGATAAGGAGCTCTCAGATGGGTTTCCTTTTGGCTTGGTTCCTGGTACAGAAAGCATCCCTGTCCCACGTCCTGACACGCAGAAAGCCTCCACAGCTGTAATGAAGTCCTGGACCACGGTGAAGCAGTTCCTCACATGGCACAGATGGAAGTGTCCCTAAAAAAACAGTCTGCACACAGGTATGCAGAACTGTTCAACACTTTAATGTATTTTATTCATTTAATGTCCTTTGTTTTAAATTAAAATTTCAGTTAACTATACAAATGAATGACATCTTCGCGTTTACACATGAAATGTAAACGCTATAAACGCAGCATTCCTCTGCATCACCAGCAGTTACAACAACAGCTAATGCACTTGAACTGCACATAGCCTCGTTAGCAGGCTGCGGCTAAATTAGCAGGCCGGGAGGAAACTAAATGCTAACCACTTAATCAAATAATCAATATAAATCCATCACAATGTCATGAAAACATACCTCCACGATTATTAAACATTTAGTGACTATTCTGACTTGTTCTTTATTTTTACAATGCATTGAACAACGACAATGCTAATTGACTGAAGCTAACTGACCAGAATAGGTCTAAAACTAAAACCTTTGGCGTCTTCCAGGTACATACTCTTTGTGGTAACTCACAGGAGGCCTTTGTATTTAACATGGGAAAGGTTTATTTCCAATAAGTAACACTGTACAGTTCCATCACATTCACGCTTCTTCACTTCTTCACCGTAACTAACATTCCCACCAGGTAACAGTGCGCTCCCTAGTGTACATGTATATATCGCCCTTTATTTTTTCCACAGTTAACTCTGAGCTTCATGGTCTGTGTTAGTGATGCAGGTTACCCTAAAAGAGTCCATTGATAACAAAGAACTGCCTTCTGCAGCCTCTTTGTTCCACACACAATGCTTGTCAACACACACCTGTGATCGTATAGTGGTCAGTACTCTGCGTTGTGGTCGCAGTAACCCTGGTTCGAATCCGGGTCACGGCAAACTGGTCAAAGGGTTTGATGTTCACTTTTATTTAGACAAATCAACTGTTTTGGTGACTGGATTGAGCTGTGCGTTCAAATCCCACTATGTACTAAAGTACATGGCACAGTGGCCTCAGAGAACAGGTTAGTAAATTCTCAGTGAAATTCTCACACCGTGTTTTAGTGGTTTGAATGAAACCATTAACAGGAGAGA